CGGTTGAGGGACTTGAATATCAGCCGTAGCTCCGATCAGAAATTGTCTATCCAGTTTGACATGCAAACAGGTAGAGCCACAGGAGAGCACAATGCTAGATTCACTAGCTATGTGGCCTTGCTTGGGAGAAGCAAGGTTAGTATTCTTATTGAGGATTGGGACCATGTTCCAGAGACACTGAAGACGCAGATTTGGCAGAGTATCCTGGTACCTACTCTTATTGAGCATTTAACATGTATATATATTTAACTTTTTGGGAACTTCATGTTATTTTTATTGTGTAGGTCACATATGATGTCCCTAACACCACTTTGTTGAGGACAAAGTGGATCTCATATGCTGGGGAACGCTGGAGAGGTTTTAAGAGTGATCTGACTAGTCGATACATATATGGGGCATTGAGCAACAAGAACTCATGTGACCAGTATTAGTTTTTGGATGAGGAGACATGGCAGACATTTCGGACTCAGCGTTTAGACGCTAAGTTTTAGGTTAGCACATTTGTCATTTGTTTGCAGTCATTTTTTTTTAAATAGAGGTTTTAAATCTGGTATTTAACATGGAATGTAACAGGCCAAGCGACAGAAGGCACAGGATATTCAGAGAAAGAATATCCACCCTCACAGGTTGTCTCGTGGGGGTTATGAGAAATTGGAGGAGAAGATGATGAAGGAGACATCTTCAAGTCATCCTTCAGATGAGTCGGTTGTGAGTGTTGTCACTCGCCCTTCACGCCATGATAAATGGAAGAGAGCTCGCCAGAACTCATCAGGGAATTACTTATCTGAGCAAACTAATGTTGTAGCTCAACGTATTGTAGGTAGCATATCCTAAACTAATTATATATGTTATACTACAATAAGCATATGTATTTGCTAAAAAATCCTTCCTTTGTGTTGTAGGATGAGTTGGTTGAGCAGAGCACTCAGGGATCATTCCACCCACATGGCCGTCAGGATATATTGGCAGTGGTCATTGGTACCCCAAAGCATCCTGGACGTGTTCGTGCTGCTGGACGAGGGGTGGGCATCAGACAGTACTTTGGTGCCCCACCCGTGGCAACTCCTACTTTGAGGCATCTGAATGAGTTGGAGTTTGAGTCCCTCAAACAACAAATTAGGAAGGAGATTTGAGATGAGGTGTACTCTGACTTGAAGGCAGAGTTATTGAGCTCAATGCGAGCAGAGTTGGCATCTTTGTCCTCTCAACCTTCTATCCTCGCACGAGAGGCATCCCCGATTCATGTCAGCACAAAGGAGAGTTGTGATGCTCCTGATAGAGGGGCAGAGGTTGCTCCTATTGACACTGCTGACTGTGAGTTGTATGTTGCGGGTCCTCCCGAGCATTTGGTGGCATACGGTCCGTATTATATCTTTGACATGTATTTGGTACATTGTTAAGCATTATATAGTCTAAAATATTTTATCATTTGTTTACCTTAGGGAAAATATATGCATTGGGGTCAACCATCCACCACCAGAGTATTGGACATGATATGATAAGAGTGGTGGTTGTAGATGTCCGGGATGCTGCTGCCCCAATCCCTATTCCCACTGAAGAGGTTCAAACAGTGGGACATGCACCTGAAAATTTTATCTTATGGCCAGTTTCATTAACAAGACTCATCCCAACACATTCACAGGTTGTGTCATGCATTTATCCCTTTTACTTATTATTTTTTGATAGGTTGATGTATATTAATGTTATTTATTTTTGGTACTTGTATAGAAAGAGGCTGAAAAAGCAAAGGAAGTTGTGCATGAATCACCACCACCATCAACTGCTTTACAGCGACTCGGTGCACTAGCAGCGACTATTGGGACCACTCCCATACAGTTAGATATGCCACCCGAAGTCGTATGCAGGACCCAGACGATCCCTTTTTTCTTACTCCAAAGGGATATTTTTGATCTTCTCACTGGTACTGATATGCTATGTGTATCAGTGTTGCAACTTTGGGAATTGTAAGTATATTTACATATTTTTTATATTCTCACTGGTACATTATTTTATAACTTTATTTATTTTCAATGTTGAAGGTATTTACATCGTTTGTGTGTTGAGAGGAAGATTGCCTTTATCTATGGATTTGTTGACCCTGTTGCCATTCAGTCCATTGGGAATAAAGCTGAAGAGGTGCAAACGTACTTAATAGAGACATTTCAAAATGGGGGCAAAGAAGTCTACTTAGCACCTTACTTGCATCAGTAAGTATAAATCTTATAAATTAATGCACATTTATGTAAAACTGAAATTTTACAAATATTATTTCAATGTGCAGGGGTCATTGACAGCTCATAATCATTGTTCCTCGGCAATTTGTTGTGATTCTCCTGTGTTCATTACACAAGAAACCAAATGATTTGAATATTAGAAAGCACATAGACGCGTAAGTTTGGTTTTTTTAATTGATTTTTTTAATTGTTGTATCATATGTGCACTTACACCAAAATTATTTGTCCTTTTGTAGAGCTTTGGAAGCTCACCTAAGGTTGCAAGGTCTTCCATCTCATGCTAGAAAGAAGTTGACGTATATTGCACCAAAGGTGACCAAACACCTCTTACTGTTGTTCAATTTGTCATTTAAAGTTAATCTGACATGTATTTAACTTGTAGTGTCCACGCCAACCGGGAAGCCATGAGTGCGGGTATTATGTGATGAAGCACATGCACACCATCGTAGCAAAAAATATTATTGGCTCATGGAGGGAGGTAAATATACTATAATTAAGTCAAATATGTTAATTATTAAATGGTTTCTAAATCTGAAATGTTTCAATATGTAGGAATTTACAGACTCATCTCCAATGAAGATTGAAGTGTTAGACGATATTAGAGAGCAGTGGACTTCTTTCCTTTTAAGTATTCAATCTTCATAGCAAATTTGACTTGTAACAATTTTGATTGAATTGATTTAAGTTAGCAAATTTACATTCGTTTAAGTAAATGAACTGTCTGGAACTGAGGTACATATATTAATTTCAATATGTTTCATATGTACATCTCTGTCTGGAACTATATATGAACTATGCATATCTGTCTGTACAAGTGTTTGGATCTGTGAATATTTGTCTGGAACTGTGATGAATAGGCAGGTCTACTCGAAGAAAGGTAGCATCTGTGAAGAAAATGTAGATACTGTAAAAAAAAAATAACACTTTCTACGTCGGTTATGTCAATACCCGACGTAGAAAGTTTAACATTTTATGTCGGTTATAGGCATAACCGACATTGATAACACATACAATCACGGTTACTGTTAACCGATATAGATACTGGGGTTATAGAAAGTTAGAAAGTAAGACTTTCTATGTCGGTTATCAGTGTTAACCGACATAGAAAGTAAGACTTTCTATGTCGGTTATCATTGTTAACCGACATAGAAAGTAATATGACAGGTCAGAATCAGTTATGATCGATCAGAATAGCTCTATGACCGATCAGAACCAGTTATGACCGATCAGTATAGGTCATAGAAAGTCAGTCTTTCTATGTCGGTTCCTGACTACCCGATTTTCTACGTCGGTTATTAGGAACCGACGTAGAAAGTCTTACTTTCTATGATCTCGTATCTATGTCGCCGCTTTAACCGACGTAGAAAGCCTATTTTAACCGACGTAAAAAGTCTTTTCTAGCAGTAGTGTTATTAAAAGAAAATATATTGACTCTTTTAAAAGCTTGAATTTTGGATACAATTATATTTATTTGTGAGACTTATTAAAAATCGTTCATTCTTGATAAATAAAAAAATTGATATAAATAAATTATTTACTACTTAAAAATATTTAATATTTGATAATATCTCGTTTTATTTCTTAATTAAACTCTAAAGTTTCATCCATAAATCTCACATAAAAATTATTCATTTTTCATATCTTATATTTTTAAGAAATTTGTGTACTTACTTCAATTTATGTACTTTAATATTATTAATTTAATAGTATTTATACAAATCAAAATAAATTTTATTAATTAATAATAACTGAAAAAAAATCAAAATACACTCAATTGTGCCGTATAATTCAACCTTACAAAAATAATAATATTTATTAGAGTCAATTATATTAATTAATTGAATATATTACGATTTTCTCATTTTATTATTAAATAATTAAATTTATTTTGATTTATATATTGATAATAAATATATAATAAATTAATAATATTAAATTATTGAAATTCTCCCTGAGTGCCGCTGTACAAATTGAGGTAGACAGAGACAACAACCATCCGAGGAAGTTCATTTCATATCTTTAGCAAATTTTGAACCTTTTAGATGATGTGCAGTAAAACAAGAATATTATAATAAAATCAATTCAAAATAGGACATTAATTAACACTGTTAAAAAGTATTTCAAAATAGTGGAAAATAGGGTAGAATGTCATGGGAGTATGTGTAATTTATTCAAAATAAAACTAAATAAAAAAATGTCATTAATGTGTGGATTAATGAAATTTTTTACGATAAAAAATATCATTAAATATAAAAATTAGATTACATATTAAAAGATTAATACACACTCATATTTTGGAAATGGTTTATATTCTCCTATTAATATTTTTCAACTTGAGTCTTACATTTTTTTTTTTTTTTTTTTATGGTTAGTGATGGGTTATAAATTTTCCGGTCATCTCTCATGGAAAGGAAGGAAGATTTTATAAACTTATTAACTTTGATTAATAATTATTTTAAAATAATAATAACAACCTGTCATTTATGCTTGCAATCTCTTCCATCTAATAGTCTCCAAAGGTAAGTTTACATGTGTGTAGAATGTAGGAAGAGACTTTGAACTTAAAGTCTAGAATACCCTTCTTCCGCCAGTTGCATTTGTTTCTTCTCCAATTTTTCTTTGGTTTTCTCCTGATACTGAAGCGAAGTAGTACTGCTTCGGGGAATCCACTCTATTGTAACAGACCACTGTTTCCTAGACTGTTATTCTCCGAAACAGGTATTGTTGGCGAATTAGGGTTAGGAAATTAGGCTTCAGCACAAGAAAATGACGAATGGTTCCAGTCGCGTAGCGGAGAAAGGACTAATCACAAGGTCTTCTAGAGAGACATTGTCGAAGAAAGTGGCTGCCACCTTCTCGAACACTCCGAATCGCAAGTCCGAGCGGCTTGAGAAGAGGACACCACCGTCACCTGCGGGCAGGATGGATCAGAAGAGGAGTACGGAGACGCCAAGTCCGTTGAGGAGATCTGAGAGAAGGAGGACAGCTTCTCCTTCATATCCTTCTCCTTCCAGGGGTTCGGGTTCCTGTTCGAGGACACCGCAAAAGAGGCATTGTATTGGAAAACAGTTGGTATTTGAAGCCAGCGAGAATGGGGACAAAGAAGACGAGGAACGTGGCGTGGAAGCTTCTTCGAGACCCAGAACTAGGAGTATTGTGTGTGAGTATCGAGCTCTATTAGTTTTTAGTTCTTAAAGCAAAACTGAGCTCTTTCAAATTTAACTTAATTTTATGTTGTGAGGAGAGTGGTATATTTTATTCTGCGAAGAGAGTGGTGTATTTTATTCTGCGAAGAGAGTGGTTTATCAGTTTCAGATCAGTAGCAGTGTTTTTGATACTTCCTGTTGATCAGTTACACTTTCATTTATTTCATTCTAGAAAAAAGTGTCACTTATTTCTATTATTGGATTTTACAAATCACAATCAATTTTAATTTATACTAAAACATGAATTGTACTAAAAAATAAGACCCTAAATTTTCTGTATTAACAAAATATCAATGACATACAGTTATATGTCTCTCAAACTCCCTATAAGAATTGGGTATTATATTGTTGCTGTTAATATTCTTCTACTTTTAATTTTTTACTGGCAGATGGGATGGATAGGTCAACTAAAAAAGGTGATGATGGGGGTGGAGGCAAGATTGATGGCTGTCTTAAAAAAGGGAATTGTTTAGATTCTGCCAATGATGATAAGGATATACGGCTGCCTGAAGATGCCACTGGTAAAAAGATGAGAGTTGAGCCTAAGTTGAGTGAGCCAGTGAAAGAACTATCATGTAATAACGCAACTGGAAATCGATTGATAAAGTCTAACACTGCAAGTTGTGAGCCTTGTGGGACACCTGAAAAGGTTCAGTTTGATTCAAGCAAAGAGGAGAGATTGCCAATTTTTGGGTCATTGGATTACGTATCAAATGAAAATTTTATTAGGAGATGTATTGAACATGATAAGGATAAAAAGTCAATATCTCCTAAGAGAAAAAGAACAATAGTGGACATGCATTCAGATACTTCTACTATGTTGGTGGACAACGACAACAACCTGAGTTTGATTAAGGATACTCGCCCGTCAAGGATGTGCAGCAATGTTGTGGAGACCAGTGGGTCATGTTCCAAAAGGATAAGGTACTTTATTTTTTAGCAAATGATAGGGAATTAGTCAATCCTATTCCTGAATTAATGACATGAAAATTTTAATCCATCTAATGTTATGTTCAGGCCTATTGACATGTTCTGTTGCCTTTATTAATTTTAACTTTCATAATTTCCTTTTTTTTTTTTCTCTCTTAGAAGATATCTTTTTGGTTATATCTAGGAAGATGTGAAGTGTCAAGTTGGATTTTTCTACACATTGTTTAGAACCTATCTGACCATTATAACCACTAAAGTTTAGTTTCTCTGTGTAGAATGTATTGCTTCTGGGAAATGGGTTCCATCAACATATCTGATACCATTGATAATTATTAAAAGATGACATGCATACAAATCAATTTTTAGGTGCACTAAAATATGTTATCTATCTTAAAAGAAGAGGAAACCTTGCTTGCACATTAGTTTTGGGACAAGCTTATGTTGTTAACTCCTAAGTGTGTTTGAGTTGATTTTTTAGGCAGATTTCCTTATCAGATGAGAAAAGAGATTGGAGGAAATCAACCAATAATGTTGATCAGCCTTCTTCAAAATTATCTACTAGGAACAGGGAAGGTTAGTTGTCCCCATTGTTATTAAGTTTCAGTTTTATGGATTTTTGTGGTTCAATAACATTGATAGTAACAAGAGTTAAGAGTGAGAGAAAATTGAATTTCTGACAGAAAAATGTGTTCTCTTTAACAGTGTTGAATCTATCTATTATATCAGATAAATACTCTTAGATTGTCGAGCAAGCATCTGAAACAATTAGTGAGAGCTGTCTATTGACACCTGTCGCAACTAACTTCTAACTATCCCGACTAAGGACAGCTAAAGAGCTGTTTACAACATATCACTCATGCAGCAAGAATTATTGTAGCTGATGATGTTTTGCATGGGTGCACCATCAGGTGCTTTTTGCTGGAAATTCTGAAGCTCCAGTTGTTCATGTCTTTTAGTCCTTGTTTAGTTCAACTGCTTGTGTTTGCAATAGTATTTCTTGGAAAAGTTGGACTTTGAAGAGACAAGGCTGGTTTCTTAACATAGCTTTTTGTCACCTGAGTAGCCTCATTGTTTATGTTGAAGCTTCATCTTATATTTGAGACATGAGGCATTCACCTCAGTTGTATCATAAACTTTCAACCAAAATGACACCTTGGCATTTAATGTTCTCACATCTGAGTAAGACAGATAGATGGTCTAGAGTTAGTTGGAATCTCCGGCATTACATGGCCATTTGAGTTGGTGGGCAGTGCCATTTCAGTTGCACGTTCATTGGTGATCAAAATGATACCCAAATTCTTACTGAATTACTCTTAGCCTAGTGAGTGTGAAATAAGTTTTAGAGTAGTCAATGTGGTCTATCTGGGGGGAGATATAGGAAGAAGGAAAGAGAAAAGTCTTTCAGAGACAGTGCCAAATGAGTAATATACATGGCTTCTCCCATCTTTGGTGAACATTCTTATCTATTTCTATGATTTTCACTCACCATAGACAAGATACATTCTGCTCTTTCCTTTTTTCATTTTCAACCTGAGGAAAACATGAACAAACCTCTTTATTGCCAGCCAAACTCCTGCTAATATAGCACTCATTTCCTCCATCCCCAACTTTTTAAGATTTCAATTAACTTCCTTTTCCTTATTATTTTTCTGTCACAGCCTGAAACTAATTTTCTTGATTCACACCAACACAAAATCTGGTTCCCTCACTTTCAAGAGGCACTCACCTTGTCTTACTGATGAAAACACTGTTTCGTAATTTGTTCCATGTGAATTGCAGTTCGTAGTTCTTACCATTTGTTTGTTTGATCAAATGTCAGTCTCGGAGGGACCTCAAGGAAACGCTGTAGAAACTGAGAAAATAAGGAAACAACAGAGGAGCTTACATCTTTTACTGAAGCCAGAGATAGCAAATCTTTGTCAAATTCTGCATCTCCCTGTATGCACTTTTCCCTGTCATGCTTTACTTGCTGTTTGTTTGTCCTGCTGTGGTCCTTTGTTGATAGTATTGCAATTTATTACCAGTTTTGTTATTGATGAAATGCATTTATGAGACTGTATAAAAACATGTGCTGTTCAATGATATTTGATTTATGGTTTCCTAATTTGGTTGTGTTAAGGTTCCAACATAAAACCAATTAGCAATATGTGAAGTAGTCTAACATATATTTAAACCATACTAAATGACCTGAGACAAGCGATGTGATATTTCCAACACGTCCCCTCCAACGAAGATTGCAGGACCAGACAAAGGATATTTTTGACCCACAACGAAAGAACAACCCTTGGCCTAAGACAATAATCGGAAAGATGTTAGACTTTGACTTTGATACCATATAACCTAACATGTATTTAAACCATATCAAATGACCTGAGACAGGCGATGTGGGACTTCCAACAAGTTGATTTGAAAGTGCCCTCTTGTTAAGCTCTATATGTTCATATAGATTACTAATCATGTAGTAAGTTTGCTCTTCCAAGTGGTTTAGGCATTATTCAACCCTACAAAATTGATTTGTAAGGTGAGGTTTGCAATTATTTATATACTATAATTTATTCGTATCTCTATTCAATATAGAATTTTCAACACATCCCCTTAAGTTGAGGCCTAAATATCTTGAGTGTGAGACTAGATATTGTTGGTAGTTTGATAGCATCCTAATAGTAGGTGACATGATAGGTCTAATAAACCTTATTATGATAAACTTTGATACCATCTAAAAAAATAGTTTAGACTTTCTCAACCTTATAAAACAAACTTGTAAGATAAATTTTATCCTCACTTATATATTTTAATTTGGCCATATCTTGACTTGGTGGGAGATTTCCTACATTTGTGAATGTTGTAGTGTGAGTCTTGTGAAAGTTGCCTTACAAAGATGTGGGAATGAATTCTGTTTTGGAATTGTAAAGTCCAAGGTTAAATGGCTAGATTACAGTTATGTTGAAGAAGACCTGCGGACATGGAATTTGTGATTTTGGGTGATATTGTAACAATATGTTAAGAAATTTAATTAGGATGTTTGAAATAGGAAAAACATTAGATTGAAACATAATAGTGATGTTAGAAATAGGAAAATTACAAGGTTTGTAATATTTACAAAAGAGATATATTGCTACGAGCATAATTGGAAGGGTGATAATGGGTCAAGAATGGTTGCTTTGTGCTTGAAATGAAATGACAAAGGTGATCAAGCCAATAAGTTTTGGATCCAACTATAGGTGTAGGTATGGTTATTAAGAGTCTACATAAACTTGTAAGAGTATGCTTTATATGACCAAATCATGTTTACCTTTGGACTCGACTAGCAGACTTGTAAGAGTCTACTTTGACATTGGCATCGACATCAATATACCTTTTTCCATAGAAAAATGCAATGGCCAAAGAAGAGAGGCAATGCGGTGTTGCTATGCAAAGGAGCCGAAACACAATGCATTGTAGTGGCCAAAGAAGAAATTCAAATGTAGGTGTTGTGCAAAGAAATAGAAATGCAAGCCCTATCGCACATTGATGATGAAGAAGTTGACATAATGAGAAAATGTGATAAGGTAACGCCGTGTTTTTGAAACATGAGATCCAAATCCTATCATTCTCCACAATTTGGGTTTTTGAAACACTAAGTTTCAAATGCGAGAGCCAAATGACATGACTCATGTTGTTTTTGTGCCAAAAACACAAACTCGTTTTCTTGTACTCAAACTTGTGAATCTACCCCGAGTTAACTGAGTCTACTTGACTTTACTCTAAGTCTACCATAGATAGAGGTATCAATATGGATTATAATCTATGAATCAACTTGGCTCACCATGGGTTTGAGCCACATTGGGTTGAAAAAATTTGAAGGTTTTCAATTATGGGTCAAAATGAGCCCAACTCACTTTACACATGAGTTAGGTGGGTTCGAGCCAGGTTAATGATAGGTTTACCCATTTTTTCCAATTTTTAATAATCTAATTTTTCTTAACATGTGTAAGTATAAATCCATGAAGAAAAAATATTTTTGTGAGTCAACTTACCTAACCCACCCATTTTAATAAGTAAACTTACATATTTTAGTAAGGAAACCCACCTATTTTAGTAAGTAACCCACTTAACTCACCTATTTTAATGATTTAAAAAATTAAAAAATAAGATACATATTTAAGTGAGTTAACCAAATTAATCACCAACCCGCGGCGGGTCGAGTCAGGTTGTAAAATTTTTTATTCACCAAAAAGTAAGTTGGGTTGATCTGACAAATTTTTAATACAATTGTTGTTGACCCAACCCATGTAAGCTGAATTAGTTCATTTTGACACCCCTCACAAACAAGTTTACAAATGAGTTAATTCTTAGCCAACGACTGAACTTGTAAACTTGTTTGAAGTTTTGAATTGACCCTAGAGTTAGATAACCATGTGTGTAGGCGATATTACTTGTTCTATACTGATAAGTACCATAAAGATTGATTTAGAAACAACAATCAATATGTTATTATTACATAGTGAGGGGAAGGGATCTGGAACTAATTCATAAGAACATTTCTCTGACACGATGCAATTCTTCTGGTTTCCCAAGGGTTTGAGGTTGATAGTTTGATTTTATTGGAGTGTGGAAATGTGTTGGTGGTGGGGATTATATTGTCATATGTGGGAATTGGGAGTTAGAATACATACAAATAGTGATATAATGGCTTCACCTCTGATTAATAAAACCTGAATTCCAGATCGGGAATCCCTGACCAAAGGAATATGGATTTATTGTTTTCATAATATATTATAGCAGATATTAATAATATAGCTTTGAATTCTTCTAATCTAACCCTGCATATCCCCAGAGAATAGTTTTTAAATCTATGTATGCTGTCATCTCGAGTTTCATGATAGTTGATCTAGCATAATTCCATCTGGGTTCTATTATCAGTATGAATTTTGTTGTATTTTGACGGCATAATTCAATCTGGATCTATTATCATATGAATTTTGTTGTATATTGACATCTTTTTTTGATGCAGGATGACGTGAAGAGTATGGTTCAAAATTGTCTTGAATATACTATGAACAATTACCAGATCTGTACAGAACCATTGCCAATATTACAGGCTTTTCAACTATCTCTGGTCAGTATATTTTCTTTGATTTTCTTCTTTTTCATCCTTGTTTTTTTTTTCCTTCGCAGTTTCTTTGGCTGAGTTATCATGCTTGCTTAAAAAACTTTCTTTTCAACATTTTCGTACATCACTATTGGGAATACCAAATCTCAATAAATCATAAAAGTGCATCATTCTTACAATTTCTTAAAAATAAGAATTACAAAATAATCATTAGCATCCTTCTTCATTCTGCATCAGTTAGCCTTTCTCTTTGGGAAAATCTAATACTACATTGATGCTTGTTGTTTTTTTATCTATTGATATTTTTCTGTTGCTGCAACTGGACTGAAAATTTTTTAGCCCTCACTTCTAACCATTCAACTTCAGGACTGGTTCTTAAATGCCTTCTGAATTTTTGCATAAGTTGAGATTCTGATCTTTGGGTAGGCACATTCAGTTGGTCAATGAAGCTATGTTCAAGCTTCAATATACATGCCTGGTACAGGGTCTCATGGTCAAATAATCTTGACATATAATTTTATTAAAGTTCTTTCCTGATCTTATTTTGGTTGAATATTGTATTTTTTTTTTCCTTTGTTTCGTATAATGAAATCTCTTCCTTTCTATGGGTTTTATTGCCTTTTTGTTTTTGTATACAAGGCTTTAAATCTTTGTAGGAATCTACATTGAACAATATGTTGTCTATACATGTGTTGTTCACATGGTTGTCTATACATACAATTGACAATTTGTGTACTTTTAAAATTTCAGTGTTTGACTGCTGCTGCTTTGCTAAATCACAAACTCAACTTCGAAGCTTCCCTTTTGCTTGCAAAGCAGCACTTGAATTTTGACTGCAAGAAAGAAGTGGTAGATGAAATCAATTCAAGGCTCTGGGATCTGAAGGAAAGTTTTTTATTGCTCACAGGAAACTCTAACGTTGCTGGCTATGCAAAGGCTTCTCAATCGTCAAGTGGGGCTTCTTCATATATGGAAGTGACACCAGAGGCTGAATTGGTAAAAATCGATAATTCTATAAATATTAAAAGTGTACAAAAGCGTAAAAGACAGTGGAAAAAGCTACTTCTGATGCAACGGGAAGAGAAGATAAGGCTGAAAAAAGATATTGAGAATGAAAATACTGAATTTCGGAGAAAGCACCAAATAGAGTGGGAAGCTATTCAATCATGTTCTCCCAATGATTTGACTAATGAAGGGAAGCTTCAGTTTGAAAGTGAATACACGAAAAGAACTAGAGAATTGAATAGGCAGCAAGAAATACGTCTCAAGGATCTTGAGGCAAAGCAATTAAAATCTAGGCTGATGTTCCAGGAGTCTTTGGCACCAGATGAATTGTTAAACCCAGTTGGTTCGAACAAACTAGGGACTATGGTCAAATCCTTACAGATTTCTGATCGAGATCAGCATCATGATGCTTCAAAAGCCCTTGTGCCTGATCATGTTGCCAAAGGAAAGGGTTTCAATGATATAGTAGAAGTCATGGCAAGGACTGAATCTGGGGTTGGATTATCAGAAGCTTCTGATGCCAATGCCTCTGTAGTTGCATCATGCAGTAGCACAGTTGAACTGCAAACTAGTCCAGTCAAACATGCTGATGCTAATGATATGGACATAGTCACTTCAAAAGATGAAGTTTTATCTGGAATCAAGTGCAATAATATTGTTGCAAATGAATATCAAAGTCAGGGAAATATTATCTCTAAGTATTTCAAATCCGGAGAGCGATATTCTGAAGGAGCTATTAAAGTGCCAAACAAAGAGGAAGGGTGTGTAAATTTTAGTCATGAATCTCATAATGATTTTGGGAATGATCCTATAATGCAGGCTCTGCCTTCATCTAATGAAGACATATGTCATGGGGACACACTAGGTGTTTGCAGTGGGGAGGTGGCTCCTTCAGTCTATAACACTAGCAGTTCTACTAATGATCTTGTTGAAATTCCTTCTTCTAGGCAAGGGGAGCTTAATGGGATTGTACAAATCAGGCCTGTTTGTGGATCGTCAATAGAAGTTGAGGCTAATGGTTCCAATGATGGTGCAAAGAATATGGCTGTCTTGAATTCTCAATCATCCGAAGAACATATTCCATATGTAAATACCTTGTGCGCACCAAATTGTGAGACTACTGCACAAATCCATGACGCTGATAACAATTATAGTTCAAATCAAGCTGACACTCTGAACTCATCTTTGAATGATGAAAGAATTTCCTCCTGGAATTCAAAATCACCTCAAGATCATGTCCATAATAAAAATGGCACATGGGTTCTAAATTGTGAAAAATTTGCACGTGTGGATGGCAATGATTCAGATAATTTTATTCTTAATTCTACTTTGGTTGAGAGAAATGTTGATAGGAACGTAGTATTAAATAGAGATGCACATGTGGGAATACTTGATGCTCTCAATTTGACTTCATCCACTGAGCAAATAGCTCGAGATGCCCAATATGTCTCAGTTTTAGATAGTGTGTTATCCAGACCATGTGGAGCCAATATTTCTAGTAATTGCTCTGATGCTAATGCTATTATTCTTTCAAATCAACCTTCTACAGAGAAACAAAATCATCATGGAGTCTCATCAAGCATAACTGTTGGACAAATTCCAGTTGAAGTTTCAGAAACTAATGAGAGGGCCACTTTAAATGTATTAGATGGGGAGGAAGCTGTGTCTCTGTCAATGCCCGACACAGTCAATTATCCTGACAATGTAATTCCTCAGAACTCTTCATCCATGGATCAATTACCTAATGGAGATCCAGTATTAGATGGCAATTTATCATCAGGGCCTAGTACTACAAGCCCAAACAATGGCCAGACCCTACCTGATGAACAAGTTTCTGTCCTGGTGCCAGGAAATAGCCATGGGGAAGCTGAATGTCAATTAACACGCAATATGGATAAAAGGGCCACATTAGACCAACAGGAAGGATTATGTAAAACCATGACGGAAAACAGTTTGACCCAGGAGACTCCAGTTGATTTCATGGAGCCTCTAGAACAAGTGCAGCCATTGTCATCTGTAAAGTCTCCACCTGACCTGGATACTTCTAGAGAAATGCAGAACAACGTAGTATCTAGTCCTGTTGATGTTGTACCAGATAATCAATCCATTAGTGATTCACCGGTCATGGAGCCTCCAAAAGAGGTGCAATTTCCTTCTGCAGGTGTCCCCTCTTCCAACCGGGACCTATGTAACTTGCCTTTGATGAGCAGAACTGAAGACCATCCATACAATGAAGATGATCTCCTCAACCACACTCCTGGAACATTAATTGAGATTCAAAATCAAGCTATTGTGCAACACCCCTCAAATTCAGACCAGCAGGAAGGAGTATGTAGAAACATGAGCAGAAACAGTTTGTCCCAGGGGACTCCAGTATCTAGATCAGTTGATGATCTCATGGAGCCTGTAGAACAAGTGCAAACATTACCATCTTTAGAGTCCCCAGATGACCGGAATACTACAATAGAAATGCAGAACAGTCTGGTATCGAGTTCTGTTGATATTGTACTAGCTAATTTATCTATTAATGATTCACTGGTCATGGAGCCTCCCGAGAAGGAGGGGCAGTTACCTTCTGCAGGTATCCTTCCTTCCAATCGAGACCTATCTAACTTGCCTATGGTGACTGGAACTGAAAACCAGCCATCCAATGAAGATGATGATTTCCCCAACCACACTCCTAAGACATCAATTGAGATTCAAAATCAAGCTGTTGGGCAATGTACCTCAATTGCGGAACATGATTCATGTTGTCAAGTTGTACATCCAGCCTCAAATATGGACTTTGTTTCACTTATGCTTGCTGGAGTCAGACAACAGTCTTCAGACACAAGAAATTTGTCAACTCTCCCAGAGATTAATCATCATCCTATACAACCAGCAAGCCAATCAGATTCCAGGATACATTTTCCCCATGATCTACTTAACTATGAATTGGAAAGACTACATAAACAGACAGAGGAAAATATTAAAAATTATGCAAAAAAGGTTAGGTTTACTGTTGCTATGATGATTACGTACATTAGGTTCTATATCCTTATTCTTTTCTTTTATTATAACTATATTATTTTACTTGTTGGAGCAGCTATCCCAGTTGAAAGTTGATTTGGCTAAGGACCTCGAGAAAGTTACCAGGAAGTATGACATTATACGTAAGGAGAATGAGGCTGAATTACAGAAAGTAACGACGGACCTGGATAAACAAAATAGCATAGTTCATGTAAATATGAAATTGGCAGAGGCTTGGGCTAAATTCATGGATGATGATCTAACTGGTACGTTAAGATTGCAGAAAGGTATATTTCTTATTATATATATTGACTCTAGTGATGATGGTAGAAATTTACATGCCCTTAGTTGTTCTCCGTTTGACTGTACAAGTTTCTGCTGAAGTATATTTTCTGCTTCCAAAACATATCTAAACTGCTGATACGATTAAGATATTTGCTTAGACTTCTTAACATGGACAGTGCCACGCTTCTTCCCTTGTCTATGTTCTTGTATAATTTAACCCCCAAATGAAAAAATGAATCTGCACAAAATCAAATGTTAATGGACAGAGGTTTCCCTTTTAATGGGCATTTGGAATCAAGTTCTCAAACAAACAATGCTTATCAGTATGTTAGGTGCTGCCGTTTTCTGTTTTCTTTCTTTATATCAAGTAAAAAACTACCAACGCATTTGCGGAGGTTGGTTGTTTGGATTTTTGCAAACATCAGGGAAGGGTTTTACTTAATTAAATAAGCCATTTTATGTATGTCTCGATCTGTGCACAGGTGCATCCACCTCATTTGCTGTCATCTGCCCATTTTTGTTTGTTTATTTATTCTTACCATATTTCATATTAATGTCAGATACAAGTTCTGTACAGCAATTATTTCAGCGTGCAAGTCCGCAAAATGCCACTCGGCCCAATATGGTTGCTAGTCCATCTACTTGTGGGCATCCTGCAGCAAGCTTGCAGAGTTTCTATGCCACAACTACCTCGCAGACTACGGTACCACCAATACAAGCCACGTACAATACTCCTGGAACATTCTCCATTGCTTCTTCAAGATTACAACGTATCAACTCCCTCTCTTCACCCTTGGGAGATCTTCAAACTGGTGGGGAGATACGTGCCCCTGCACCACATCTCCACCCTTATAGACCCACAACATCCCTCCCAGCCTCCAATCTCTGTACAGCTCTGCATGGGAGACCAAGTCTGCCTGCACCCTGTAATGGTCCTGTAACTTCTCCCCCATTTTCTCACCAGACACCCCAGCCAACACCAGCAGCACCCTTTCCTTTTCATGGCCATTGGCCAGTGAGTACAGGTGGTTCATCCTCACCTAATTTACCTGCCATTAATACTCCCTCTAATGCTAACAGTCAACATGGTATATATCTGCCAAATGTTCCGCCTCATATGCCAGATTTTGCTTCGGCGAACAGATCTAAATATTTCAAAAGTAGTAGTACGTCGGCTACATCACCTGATGTAGTCTGTTTATCAGATGATGAATGACCGACCTGGGGAAGTATTAAACATCTTTGTGTATGTGTCCTAACACTAGGCAATTATATATCTCTTTTTTGCCCTTCCTTAAGAGGCTTCTAACAAGAATTTAGGAGGTGTCTTTCTCACCTGTTTTTATTGTGTTGTAATTAGTATTGTGTTTAAACAATATCTATCTATATATATGCAGTGTAATTAGTTTTATGATTCCCTGATTTATTATGAATGATTGTGCTACGTTTTGGGTGGGACAGATGAACGAGTGTTCCTTGAAATGAAGCGATTTCTTGTTCATAACGTCGTATCATACTTTATCTTCAATTTAAAAGATAGCGGATACGCATACTGCATCTTTCATATATCATATTTTATTATAAAACTACCTTATGGGCATGAAGTCTAAAATTAAAAATGTCATATTAGGGGTGTTTAAAGAATGTTGGGTAAATAGACCCTGTACATATAATATTTTTCAATTTAAAACACTTCTTAATATTTTATATAAATAAGTGCTCCTCGAGTGCTCTCTAAGCAAAGTAATACGGTCAAAATAAATCGAGAGTAGTTCTCTTGTCCTGTTTGACAAATTTATATTGCTCTTTTGTACCTTGTTTGATTAGAGGGAGGAAGGAGGGGTGGAATAGGCGAGAAATAGGTTTGGAATATGTTTGGAAGAACGGCAAAGAGGGGAAGGAAAATAAATAAAAATATGTGGGGTTCACATACTTCATTTTCCTATTCAAATGTGCATACATGCGATATTCAGTATTTTTAAGAATGCCAAAAATAGTCAAAAACACAAAGTTTCCATTTTATTTATCTATCTATTATTTTTTTATCTACCAGTAGCCTCTGGTATGACACAGACATTCACTTCAGTTTTTTAATAGAGGCTGTACTAAGCCATATGGGGACACTTTTTTTCTTGAACACTGCTTATTATTTCTTTCCTTATCTTTGATTTTTTTTTTTTTTTGTCTTATAATATTTTTTTCTTTACATTAGGGAAGGGAATGCAACAAGTTCTTTTGTTATCATAATAAAATAACTCTAAAATATTATTTTCATATCTCAATAAATTTATATATAAGTTAAGATTGAATGCAAACAGGGATATCATCTTTTCTTTTCTTTTTTTCAAATTGAGAAAACCTTTATTAAATCATGAATAATAAGATATTCAATTCAAGTAGGACTAAAGTCAAAATTTTGCCGACAAGCAAAGATTTAAATGCCCTAGCTAAAGAGAACTTGGTCTACTTGCCTGCTAACAAACAGTATACAATTGTTTTGAAAAATAAACACTGAAAAAAAAAACATGGGAAGAAGAACAAGGGTGAAATGCTAGACACCTAAAAAGTGTTTTTTTTTTTTTTTTTTTTTTTTTTTAAGTTCTTCAAATGAAAACGTTCGAACTTAACAAATTTTGACTTATAAACTTTTAACTTATATAGTCGATATGACACACTAACAAATAGATAAAAATGTGATTTGTTTCATATCATCCACTATCTAATTTTTTTATTGCTGTATGTTTTGAGATTAATATTTGATAAGCCATTCACAATAACTAAATAAAGATATCTAAAATAATTCTCAATAAACATTAGACATTTATAACAATGAAAAAGGGAAGAAGACTTACAATTATTATTACTAACAACATATTATTACATCAAATAATAATAGACAAAGTATTTATAGATTTATTTTTAGATTTTATAATATTTAAAATATTTAATTAGTTATATATAAATAAATATTAGTAATAATTAGGATTTTCAAAATAAACTTAATCCAGATAAATTAGTCGAAATAACGCAATAATAAATTAAGTCCCAAAAAAATGGTGGAATTTAAATCTATTTAGTATATAACTTAAATCGACTTAAGTTAAATTATAGATAATAATTTTATTAAATTCTTATTACTTTTAAATAAAAAATAAAAAATATGATTTATTAATATAATTTATATATTGAATTATTATATTTATAATAAAATTTAATTTTATTAATATAATTTAAATTTTAAAAATATTTTTTATTTTTATTTAGAAGTAACTTTTTTGAATAAAATATTTTTATATAGATAGGTTGTGAGAAAAAAAAATAGTAAATGCTATGCAACATCATCTTTCAAAAGAAACACCAGAAGAAGAAAGAAAAATAATTAAAAAAAATATGTGAAAAAGAAAAACTATTGTTATTCATTGATGAATATTTGCTTATTACAATGATTTCTATCATCGTTTCTGCTACCAATATTCTTGTAATATAAATCATGACTTCTCACATTTTTGTAAACAAGAATCCACCACATCAACCACATTACCACGAGCATCTGAAACACAGAAAAATGGTTAAAATAATAAGTGAACATAATTAACTGAATAATAAAGAAAAATTATAACTTTTTTTGAAAAAGATAAATATTGTAAGAGAAAAAATACCAATATTCACAGTAATGGACTTGCTCACACCACAACCAGTGACACAATCATAAGAATCGGTGAGTGTTTTGGGACATTTTGCAACGCAAATAGCAAAACATATTGGATAAAAAAGATTGGCTAACACACAATTTATGCCACATTTTGCTTGACAAGTAAGTTCATCTGGGGAGATATTTGACCCCATTTTCATATCTGCATAATTCTTCTCAGCCTGCACCACCAAACTCAAAGTAATCATCATTATAATCACAATTCCAGTAGTTTTCATCTCAGCTTTTGCCTTCACAATCTCAGAAATATGTATGTAGATGTTATATTCTTGTTACTATGTTCTGTGAAAAATAAACATCAATTTATAGACATTGTATTAAATACTTGCTTTAACGTGTCAATAAAAAGGGTTTGTGGATTTCCATAAAAGCAATAGACTTGGATGGTGATAGAATATTCGTATTCGATGCTCAAATGACAAAGGATATGCTAAAAAGTGACAAATTTCAATGCTAATAACTCAAAAATGGTTATGTATTCAATGTTTGAAAAGAATAGTCAAAGAATGAAAATTTTGTATCCCAATAGATCATATTATCTATATAGAAAGAATATTTGGATATTTTGGAATCATTAAATTAAATAAAAATTTAAACTTTATAATTAGAATTATATTAGTTATTTAATTAATAAAAACTAACCTAATATTTATTTAGTTAATAAAATTAATATTTTAACTGTTTATTTGATAGATATTAATCTATTTAATATTATTAATTTATTAGCTATTTATCTAGTAAATATTAATATATTAATTATTGAATTACAAATTATTAATCTATTAATTATTTTTTACTTTTTGACTGGATGAATTGGAATTTATGATTATGATAAGTCAATTTATCACATTTTTTCAAAATGGGATAAATGAACTTATTTTATCATCATATTATAAAGTTTTTTTTTATATATTCAAGAGTGTTTCAAGAAGAAAGATAAATAATAATTTTGTATTAATTATAAAAGATTAAAAAAAAACTTGTATTAATAAATGAATTTATTTTTTCCTTTTTCATTCTAAAGGAAACTATTTTCTTTTTCTTACCTGTTAAAGTAAACGAACCTTTCATCGTTGAATCCATTAATTAATCCTCACATGTTTTGTTAGTAGCTTTTATTATGAAAGCGTTTTAAATTACAACTTCCGATATGCTATTAATTTGTTTGATATTTGTAAATAAATGTTTATTTATACAAATTTATATTTAAGCAATTTATATTATGCGGTTAAAATAATATTTCATATTTAATTTATGAAAAATGCTACCTTCTATCTCTTAAATATAAAATGTTAATTTACTTTATAAAATATGAAGTTATTGTATCAAAGTTAAATAATTGACAAATGGTTTTGTTTTAATAGAAATCTTCTTAAGACAAAATTTAGGCTCCTTTCGATTATAAAAAATAAATTAACGGAAAATAACAAATTTCCTTTACTTTCTTCTAATACATGAGCGGAAAAGAATAAAAAATAAAAAAAAATATGTTATTTTACAAAAATTATTCTTACTCAATTAAATGATTATGCATTTATTATATTTATTTATTTGTAATATGGTGTTATTTTATTAATTTAATTTTAAATTATTTTGAAAAATATAATAAAAAATATTTTATAATTATATATTAAAGTATATGTTTTTGAAAAAAAAATGAAAAGTATTATTTTAAAAAATATATTTTATTATTTTTAAAATAAACATTTTATTTTCTTATATCACTATCGTCCTAGCACAAACAAGAATAATTTTAATTCTATTTTATTTTCCTTTACTTGCTACTCAAAAGATAGTTAAAGAGCTCGTTATCTCTTTTGGTTTATATTTTTTATTTTTTTAAAATATTTAATAAAACAACTAACAACTTTTTGTTAAAATAACTACCAATTCCTCCCCTAACAAGTTTTTATTCAAAACGTTATTAAAAATCTAAATAGCAATGGTTTAGTATTAACCGTTGTTAAAATCAATAAAGAAATAGTCAATTTTTTTTTTTTTTATATAATTTTATTACAACTTCTCTTGATAATCTTATTCATGAAAAATCTTGCAACAAATTATTAATCATCTGGACAAGCTTGCAAACAAGAATCCACCACACTAGTCACAACGCCACGAGCATCTAAAAAAAAATTTTTAAAAAACATAAAAAAAAAAATCATAAATATAAAGAGTAACAAAAGATGAATATGGATGGTAAAAGAGAATGAATACTAACCAACATTGATGGTGATGGATTTGTTAACTCCACAACGTCTAATGCATTGGAGTCCATTTTTGGACTTCTTAGGGCACGTTGCAACACAAAGAGCGAAACACAGCGGGTATGCAAGGTTGGCGAGAACACAATGTATGCCACATTTAGCGGGACATGTTAGAGAACCAAAAAATTTGCACTCAGCAGGTGAGAAGCATAACATAATCATGATTGCAATACTTAATCCAATGCTACTCCTACTCTTCTTCATCTTTCCCATTACTTCTCTTCAACTCTCTCTCTAAGCTTTTTGTTTAACATATATAATATTATAATTTTACTATCTTTTCTATTCTATTACTTTTTTTTATTATTAAAAATCACATTTTGTTATTTAATTCATCAAAATATTAAATATGTTATTATTTAATATCATTATTTAATGCTGGAAAAAACAGTCTTCACTTTATTCTCCCATTTATTCAGTATTCATATATGTATTTAATGTTATTCAATGGATATGTAACGTATTTAATACGCGGAAGTATTAATGTATTCAATGAACATTTAATACATTATAGAATATTACTTCAAAATATATTACGTTATATATAGATATTAAAATAAATATTTATTTTTATTATTTTTAATAAATATATGGTGTAACATCTCGAAATTTACCATGTAATTTTTTTTAATATTTTGTATTAAATTATTAAATTTTAAATAATTTTATAATTAAAATCCATTCATATAAAAATATTATTATTGTTAAAATATTATAAAAAAATAATTATTAAAATAATAATTATAATTATTTTAAAAATTAATTATTCATTATTAAAATAAAATTAGCTAATTATTGTAAAATTTTTTTACCAAAGATAAAACTCTTATCTCTTTAAAATCTTTATAAAAAACTTAATAATTATCTTTTTTAGATGAAAGTTATAAAAAAAAAAACAAAAAAAACAGAGGGAGAGGAAAAAGAGGATGAGAACTATAAATATTTATTATTCTATTTGTTCTATTTTTAATTACAGTAGTTGAGGTATTTTTAATTTAATTTAATTTATTATAATTATTTTATTTTTAAATATTGATTTTTTTTATTTCGAGTTATATATTAATTTTTATTTATATTTATTTATCTTTAATTACACATTGGTTTTATTTATTTATGTTCAGCCATCTTATTATATTTCTTTATTTACTTCTAATTACATAGAATTTTTTATATATTTATAATTATTCTCAGTTTCACAGTAATATTTATTTATTAATTTTTATCTATATAATTTAAATGTTTTAAATTTTATTAAATAATAATATTTGTTTATCAATATTTGATGGTACTATATAGGGAATAAACCTTAAGATTGAAATAAATAAATTTCATTTAGAAAGTGATTATTCTAGGTTCATTTATATTTGTTGATTACTATAAAAATCAATTTAATTTTTTATAATATAAAATAAATAGAATATAATAATAAAGTTAATTTTATATACTATTTTAAAATTATATTATTTTACTGTATAGAGACATTAAGATAGAAAACATGTATTATAAATTAATCAAACACTTGAAATTTTTTTTATCAATTTTAATAATTATTTATAATATATTAATTATATAAATGTGTAAAATTCATATATATATATATATATATATAAATATATAAACATTTACCTCATATCTTATTTTTATAAAGATTTAATAAATATAATTATTTCTTTTATATATATATATATATAATTAAAATTAACATGATAAAAAAGTACATCACATTTCCATTAATATTTTTATATTTTTAATTCAAAATTATTTTTAATAATTTGTTATTTTTTTACAATACAGAGAGTTTAAAAAAATATAATTAGTAAAATGAAAATTAATTACAAATTTGTTTCTAAACGTTGGACACAAGTATAATCAACTATATATCTATTCTGGCAAGATAAAAATATTAATAAAATTAAATTTATTAAATATTTTCATAGACTTAACTTATATTAATATAAAAAAATTTAATTATCTAGAAAATATATTTATTTATGTACAGTCTGTCTTTCTATAATAAAAATATTAACAAAAATTAAATATATTATTGAAAAATATAAAATAAAATTTAATACATCAATATATAGGTAGGTTAAGAAAACACTAACAAAAAAAAATAAATAAAAACAAACAAAAACGTTGACTTAGCAGATGTTAAAATATATAAAATATTTTATATTTTCAAGATAAAAGAACAATATATATTAGTTGCTCATGTTATAAATTCCCTAATTAATAACTATTATAACATAAATAATAGCATTTTTGTTCTAACAGTTTTTTTTATAGTCTTTACCATTAATTATAATTAATTTAATATGGAAATGAAATGTTGAACTAGATACATAGTTTAATTAATATATAAATAATATTATTGAATATTTCATTTTTATTTTTGTATTTAATAACTTATTTTTAGCACTGTTTTTTATTCAATAAATTAATAAATAATTAAATAGTCTTTTTAAAATGAATAATTCTATTTATAAAAATAATAAATTTTACGACAACTTTTCAAATCAGATTATTATAATCATAAATTTTATTATATATAATTTTAAGTTCAAATTTTGAAACAAAATTCCAATAATAAAAGAAAAAAAAACTTATTTTCAAACACAACTCCTCACCGTGTGGGAAGAGTGATTTGAGAACGATGGAAATGTCAATGAACACTAGTTTAAATCAATTTGTTTTTTCATACATAATTCTAAAAGAAAAAAAAATAACTCAATTTTATAAACCAATAAAAAATATGAACTTATATATATAGACTATTTTGATATGTAAAATGCTAATTATATATTTTTTAAAGATTTTATATAAAAAGTGGTAATTAAATTTAATATATATTTAAACTTTATTTAAAATATTTATAGAAAAAAAATCATCTAATTACGAATACGTGGTTGTCAGCGTAAGGACCTGTTTTTGACGTATTAAGGCAAGTGTATGAATTAATTAAAAATAATAATTAAATGTAACATATATTTAAGCTTTATTTAATTTAAAATACGTGTGATGTGAATTGGTTTTAGACTTAAAATACAGAACAATTGTTGTGTTTAAGTTTCGGAGGTAGAATTAGAAATTGGGCCTTGAGTTGTTTGGATTAAGAAAAAAAAAAAAACACAATAACAATGGTATGTCAGTTTAGTAAATATAGGGTATTAATAGAAATTTTCATTCTATTCACTTCAAAGAAGATTTAACTAAAGGAAGTTATTTCTTCATCTTAAGTTTTGATCTTGATTCGAGAGAATGGGAAAAAAGAAATGAGCTTTTCTTTAGCAAACAATTTAATCATAAATTATTGTATGTGATTTGACTAATTAGCATTATAGGTTGCATTAAAAACAAAAAAAACTAACACAAGATGATTAACATTATAGGTTAAAATTACTAAACAGTCCATCTAACCATAATTTATTCTCTTCATTTTTACAAGTAAAATCATCTAATTAATTTATCATAAAAATATAAACATAATAAATTAGATTAAATTTATTCATTAATTTTATAGATGATTAATTGTCATTTATTATTTTACAAAATTATATAATTCTCATATCAACATTCAATATACAAAATAATCCAAACATTTTTTTCATATATTTTTTAAAAGTTTACCTGTTTTAAAAAGTTCAAAAATATTTTTTCCAAATTTATTTTCAAAAATGTTTTTAATATAATTTTAGGAATGTATTTATAAAATTTTAAATATATTATTTTTATGAATGTATCCATTCATGAAAAACCATTGTTAATAGACAGATTGGATTGAAGTTTATCATGTAAATCATATTTTTAATGAATTTTTTCATAGATTAAAACAGATTAATAGATTTCTTTCTCTAGTCTATCATAATCCAGAATATATTTTTTGCATGCATTGAACACAACACTTATGTTAAAAGGTAAAAGTAGAAAAAATCAACAACTTTTACTCAACAGTTTTGACCACCAATTCAAAATGTTATATTAGTATAATGAAAATTATAATTTATATAGGAGACCAAAATAAACTATTTACATTTATTCATCATATACTAAAAATGTAATATATTCATCAATCAAAAATTAAATAATAATAATAATAATAATAATAGATTTAATAAATATTATATTGTTAATATTAAATATTAATATATATGATTAATACATATTCATGTATTGAATGGAATTTTTTTATCATGAAACATAAAAGAAGATCACAGAAAACAATTTAAAATGTTAGTGATTAATTTTGACCATAAGTCAAAATATTATATTGGTATATTAATGAGAATTATAATTTATATACCTTAAATGAGAGATTGAAATAAATTACATATATTTATTAATATATACTGATAATAGTATATATTAATAATTTAAACATTAAATAAATAAATAAAATTAAAACTATTACATATAAATTTTTAAATATATACAAACAGTTTTAAAATTCATATAAAAATGAATCAATATTAACATTATTTTGCATAAATTAAAAGATATTGGATGTGATGTAAATATCTTTGAAGAAAATCATTTGTAAATAAATGTCAGAAATATTTAAAACATGGCTATTAAAATATAATCAACATAGACAGCATTAAAGTGTATATGTTCTTTTTTGGGTTTCATAATATTGCATTGTTTGTATGTAATAATAGTAAAAAAAATAAAATTTGTTTATTACTACTATAAAATTGTTAATACTACTAATTGATATTAATAAATTATTATTTATGTTAGTATTTAATATATTAATATTTTTAAATAATTGGCTTTGATCTTGATTTTGTACATTAATTAGTTTGAATCTATGTTGTTATGTATTATTAATTTTTAGTCAACATGTAATGCTACTTCTCTATAAATTGTTGCTTATTGTTTTCTAAAACATCAAAGGAAAAAAAAAATCACATCTTTATAAGATTAGTGAGAGAGATTTTAGAGATTAATAGAAAAAAGATGAGAGATAACAAGAGGATGAAGTTGTTCGGAATGATGATGACGATGATGGTGGTTGTAATGGGTTTTGCAGATGCTGATGGTGATGTGGCCATGAAACTGAGTTGTAAGCAAAAGTGTGCCGTAAATTGTGTTCTAGCAAACCTTGCATACCCAATTTGTTTTGGTCTTTGTATCTCAAAATGTCCTTCTCAAACTCCCAACACCGTCATCGATAAATGCATCGATGGTTGCTCCGTCAACAAAACTATCACCAT